AAAAGAAAAAAAAAAAAAAAGAAAAGGAAGAAAAGAAAAAGAAAAATAGCACGCAATTCAAGGACTTCAAGTCACCTGGCTGACGACGCTGCTGTAGATGTTCCGTGCTTGGGTCTAGGACCATCATGAGCTGACAGCCAACACATCTCAACCAAACTTACATCGACAAGTTCACAACCCTCTCATGCAGAATGTCAAGGGGTCTTGCAATCATCGTGAGTTCGATACGCACTCAACACCGCAACCTGTCACCTGTACTCCTTCAGAACAGTTCCGTTGGCCCTCGCAGCATCAGTGATGTTGCTAGGCAGCTGCTGTTTTGAGGGAGGTTGAGAGTTGAGATAGTATGGAGGGAGGACGCGGGTGCTGTTTCCTTGTAGTCCCACATCGAAACCCTCGTGAGTCAACTTCTGACGTTTGACTTCTGCGGTAGCTGCAGTTGACGATCTTGATGGAGTTGCGTCGGGAGATTTGGGAGGCTCGTCAAGATCTGATAGCGTTCTCTTGACAGCTTGTTTCTCCTCATTCGACGCTCCTTCAACGCTCAACTTGCTTGGCTCTTGTGCGACTTTCGACAACACCCACTCTACCCGTCCACCAAGTTTCTGCAAGCAGGGACATTCATCATGAGAAGGGGCAGGAGGGGAAGGAGAAAGGCGAAAGCATCAAGAGGGGAGGGAACAAAAGAGAGTGAGGGAAACAAAAGGAGAGGGAGAGGGAGAGGGAGTGCGGGAAGGAGAGGGTGATGGAGAGGGAGTGCGGGAGCGGGAGCGCGAGGGAGAGGGCAAGGGAAAGGGCAAGGGAGAGGGAGAGGGAGAGAGAGAGGGAGAGGGCGAGAGGGAGGGGAGGAGGATGGGGAGGGAGAGAGAAAGCGGGAGGGAGGAGAGGTCTACCTGGCATATACCAACAGAGCATGCACACCACGAGAAGCTGCTGGAGCTTGACGCCAGGAAGATGAGCTTCTCGAGCGAGGTGAACTTTGACTTGCGAGCACGTAAGACAAGGAGGGAGGCAGAGCTAGCAGACCTTGTCTTCAGGAAGCTGTATGTCAACGCAACACACAGCATGATGAGACGCATCGGAAGGGAAACACTGGGACCAGTCAGCCACAGCAGCATGCCATGGTTGGTAGGGTGAACCTTGGAGGTCAGAGGGCTGTTCAGGTCAAGGGTGCCGCACTGCAGTCCTCCTCGCAGCGCCTCTCGAGTCTCCTCTTGCCTTCTTCCCATCCATGAGCTATCTCTCCACCTTGTGTATCCCACGGATCGATCTGCTTCCTCTGCCTCCCCCCATGAGGTTGAACGCGCCCATCGGTGCTGTACCAGGGCAAGCAACATGAAGACGATGAGGACAGTCCTGGTCATGATAGGATAAGGTGCTGTGTGCGTGCTCTTGAAGCCAAGGGTGCCCCGCAACCAAACTCTCTCATCATAATGAGACCTGGAAACAATTTCAGTCTGCTGGTATGAATCAGCCATATCTTGTCTCCACCTCACCCTTCATGTTCTGCTCTCCCGTGATGTCATTTTTTCTTTCCCTTTCCCTCTCTCCTCCCTTCCTTTGCACATTCACCAATCCATTCACATCCTATCCTTTCCCCTCTCCTTCCCACCCCCCTTAACTCCCCTACTCACTTCTCCTATCTTCTCCTCTCCCATCGCTCTCCTTATCCTCCCCTCCCCTCTCCTTCTCCCCTCTCCTCTCCTCTCCACTCCTCTCCTCTTCCCTGTGCTCTTTCTCCCTCCCTTGACCTGCTTTGAGGCTACTCGCCATTTCTCTGTTCACCCCACCCCTTATTTTCAAGTAAAGACTACCGGTAGTATCTTTTAAATGTTTACTCAATTTCCCTTCCTCAAGATTTTCTTCAGGGTCAATCTGTGTCCACGACCTTTCCTTGCTCATCCTCCGGCTCCTCCTCTCCCTCTGCCTCCTTCTACTCTCCTCCTCTCCTCCTCTCCTCCTCTCCTCCTCTCCTCCCTCCTCTCCTCCTCTCCTCCTCTCCTCCTCTCCTCCTCTCCTCCTCTCCTCCTCTCCTCCTCTCCTCCTCTCCTCCTCTCCTCCTCTCCCTCTGCCTCCTCTCCTCCTCTCCTCCTCTCCTCCTCTCCTCCTCCTCTCCTCCTCTCCTCCTCTCCTCCTCTCCTCCTCTCCTACGCCCCTACCCCCCACTCTCCTACTCTCCTACGCTCCTCTCCTAGCTCTGTCCTACCCTCTTTCCTCTTACCTCGAATCTTTCGCCTTTCACCTCTCGTATCTCGAGTCTCCTCATCTGAATCCATAAGGGATCTTCAACTCAGTGTCACAAATCAGAATATCTCAGTGGGGAAGGGCAGTATCAGGAAGGCAACGAGTTCTGGAGGACGACAGCAGGAGGGGAACCAATAGGCTCAAGTCACAGGAAGGCGAGGTGAGAGCAGGAGAACAGAAGTGAGAGCAGGAGCACAGAAGGTGAGAGCAGGAGCACAGAAGGTGAGAGCAGGAGAGGGGTGTTCTTCACACCCTACCATGGGAACTGTTGCTAAGACAACATTCTTCATAATCTTCTTCTGCCTCTTGGACTCTTTCCTTGCCAAGGGCGAGGAGGAACCAGGGGATCTGTTTGCTCGCTACGTGAAAAGACTGTGCTCGATATGCAGCAACAGGCGAGAAGACTGCGGTTGCGACGAGACCCTACATGGCAGCGCGGGAGGCTTCCGCCTCCTCCACGAGTACGCTCTCAAGTACGAGGGATGGGCTGAGGAAGTGAGGAAAGGAAGAGCACAAGAGCTGAGGTTTGTAGTGGCGGACGTGACGGGAGGAGGGTTCGGGAATCAGATCTTTCAAGCCATTCAAGGGCTGCTGGTGGCTCTCGAGCTTCAGATGCCGCTAGTCGTGATGGGAGTGCATACACGAGAGCAGACAGCAAGGCTGGGGATGACGTGGCACCCAAACCTCGAGCAGCACTACGTGTTCAACGCTGTCCTTCCCCTCATTGATGAGAACGTGCTGGAGGAGCTGAGGTGGAGAGAGGGGAGGTTGACGAAGATGGTATACACGCATGACGCGGAAGGAATCGAGTTCTTGACGTGCAGGAACTGGCACGAGGAGGCAGCAGGGTATCAGTTCTTGCGGATCCATGGCATCACAGATGTACACATGGCGGAGCTTAACGTCTACCATGGAAGAAGCATCAAGGAAGCTTTCAGAGGAAAGACTTTCTTTTGGTTGTCACACTTCCTATGGGACAGAGATCGATGGGTGCAGGAGGTCGTTCAGGTAGAAACTTCTCCTCCCGCCCCCTGGGATGGTCTGCGGACAGTCCAAGAGCTCGGCACCCTCCTTCCGGCGTCTCCTCAAGCCCTGAGAGTTGGGCTTCACCTCAGATTGGGAGGTCACTTCTTGCACTTCGACCACAGGCACGCGTTCAAGGAGGGGTCGGACGTGCTCGACGGCCTCGACCCGCTGCAGTTCTACTGTGGTGGGCATGCAAACTCCGTCAAGACTGTGGGGCCCTGTCTGAGGACGATCATAGCAAGACACGGGGAGGGCCACGAGAGGATAGTCGTGCTGTGGTCGTCTGACAATGGGAGGATCTCTGAAAGATTCATCGAGGAGGTCGTCAGGATCCCGCACGTGAGTGTTGTTCGCATCCTCCACAAGGAGGAGGAGAGGTATGACCACCCCGAGATCAGGTACGCCATGGCAGACGTCGCACTTGTGTCGCTGTCCGAGATGTTCCTCGGCACTGCGCTCTCATCCTTCTCCTTCTACATGCACGCTTCCTCCCTCATCGTCCCCTACTACATGGGCCACGTGCCTGGATCAGGCTGCAAGAGAGCGGCGAGCAGCGAGGCAGGGCTGGTGACTCACAGCGTCGGCTCTATGCATGTGTGGTCTTCTTGCTTCGAGGACGAGGACGAGGAGGGAGGAAGGGAGAGAGGAGCAGCGTGCGAGATCGCTGACAAGGAACTAGAGGAAACCATGAGAGGCTGCACTGCGGTGTTCGAGATCTTCCGTCATAACTGCCTGCAACGAGCTGTAACGTGTGTCTCTGACGCAGACATCAAGAACTGGTCGAGCAGTCTCAATCTCGAGACCGACATGGGAAACTTTTACAACCTGCGATGGTCGCGCGATGGTTTGAGGTGGCACTACCTCGTCCCTGACCTCATCGACTGCCACTCGTACCGGGAAGCTAAGAAACTTGCTGCCAGTGAGCTGGAGGACAACGACAGGAACGACTCAGTGCAAGAGCAGTCAGAAGTGCGTTCACGTCAGGATGTTGTTGCAGAAGAGTCAGATTCCCTCGATCGTCGCTTCAAGGCGTTTGCACAGGCTGTTTGCCAGAAGTGTAAGGCCAAACAAGAAGACTGCGGTTGTGAAGAGCTGCTCTCCTCGGATCCTTTTTTCACCCTCCACAAGTACGCGAGCAAGTACGAGGAGTGGTCGCGGAGGCAGGACGACAGGGAATACATGAATACCCTAAGGTGGGTTGTCGTCGATGTCAACGGAGGGATCGGAAATCAACTGCTACAAGCTGTCCTCGCACTGATGATCGCCATCCGGACTGACCGCGTGCTAGTTGTCAACCTGATGACTCCGGTGGAGTACAACCTGTCGCACGTGCTCCCCCTGCTCCCCCTCGAGGTACCAGCAAGTCTGGGATGGCCGAGAGTCTCTACCCGAGAGATCGCGACTGATCATCGGGATGGGAGGGATGGCGTGCAGTTCTGGACGTGTGGAGACTGGCGAGAGCTCGACGGTGTCAAGTTCCTGCACATGATGGGCTTGTCAGACGTTCACCTGCCGCTGCTGCATCCTGTGCATGGCTGGTGGTTCAGCAAGACATTCAGGGGAAAGCCCTTCTTCTTCCTGTCTTACTTGCTGTGGACGGGGGAGGAGATGATGGAATATCCTGTGGTCGTCAAGACCTTTCCTCGCTCTCAGCTCTCAGGGCCAGCCAGCATGCAGGCGCTCGTTGCGAAGCTCCGACACCTGACCGAGAGAGAGTCAGTGGGGATACTCGCCGTGCACATGAGGATGGGAGGGTACATGAAGAAGAAGTCGCAGGCGTACAGCCCGGAGGCTGGCAAAGGGGACGACTTTCTGCTCTTCAGCCATAAGAGCATCTTAACGCAAGACTGGGATGGAGAGGGCCTTTCCCCCCTCGAGCGCTACTGTCTTGGCGACGAGGCGTCGCTGCAGCCTGCGCTCGCATGTCTGGGGAGGCTTGTAGAGCAGATGAGGAGCTCGCAGGGCAAGGAGAAAGTGCTGCTGCTGTGGGCGACGGAGCGAGCGGACATGCTCGAGAAGATCGCTCCCTCCTTCTCCCAGGTGCACAACGTCACCATCCTCAAGGTCTCTCCCGACTCGCAGGCGCTGGAGGAGACGTGCTCCTCGTCTGACGTCATGAGGAGGCGCTGCCACTCGCTGGTCGGGCTGACCGACTTCTTCCTCCTAACTCAAGTCCACGACGTCTTTGTTGGTACCGCACACTCCACCTACACATACTGCATTCACAGCAGAAGCCTTTCGGTCCCTGTATACGTTGGGCTGTCGGCAGGAAGCTGCTCGGTAGGAAGCGGACATCAGGCCGGACTTTTCTCTCGCGGATCTACCCCAGCTGAGGAGCAAGTCCCGCTGCATTCCCAGCTGGGGGACATGGAGGTTGACAAGTATCGCAACTGCACCATGGGCTACTACATCGCGATGCACGGCTGCATGGAAGAGATCGCTACCTGTGTGACGGCAGAGCAAGTCAGGACGTGGGCTGCTCCCCTCCTGATTGGGCTTAACCATGTCGAGCTGTACGAGCAGCTCTGTGCTCGGGTGGGATGGCGGGGGCTGCGATTCGTGCCTTCAACTGGCATCGTCTGCAGCGAGATCCTCGATAGTCATCTAGAGAGGCTATGGGGAGAGGAGGGGAAGGCTGACGAGCACACTGCCGAAGGAGGGAAGGGAGGCGTCTGAAGGGAGGTACGAGGTGAGACATCGAGCAAGATTGACACTGCAGGGCAATAACAACGAGCAACATGTTCATCAAAATTCATTCGATCATTCATAGAACAAAAAGCTCAACACCGCCTCCATTCTTGATCCTTGTCCTTCTTCACGCTTAGCTGTCCCCCTTGCCATTCTCAGGAGACGAGTTGTCCTGGAACTGAATGTTCGGCCAGGGGTCGGTGGCCGAGGCGTCTCCGGTGAAGCGCATGATCCGGTCCGGCACATACCGAGGACAGTCGTCTCTCTCGATCGCCTGACAGCGCCTAAGAGATCCGCAAGAGTTCAAATCCTACACGCCTACCTGCACGCCTCCACTGGGCCCCTCATCGCTTTCAGAGAAGGCCAGGGGCATGTGGAAGCCAAGGTCGCAGAAGATTTTCCTGGAGGCTCAGAAGATCAGGAAGAGAAGCGTGAGCTGCAGCAGAGAGACCTTCTCCAAGACATTGGGATGAAAGACTCGATCTCCAAACACGTGCTAGCTCTGCTCCCTAGCTCACGACAACAGCGTTGAGGGCAGCAAGCGCTCACCGATGCTTCATGGCGAAGCCCTCCTTGTCAGCCGAGAGCTTGTCGTAGGTGATGGTGAGCTGAGCGATGAGGATGTTGAGCATCCCGATGGTGACGCAGCTGGAGAGTTTCTGTCACATCCGATCTACTAGCAGGGGGCGAGAGAAAGAGATGGTGAACTTACGTTACAAACACAAGCAGGAGGAAGCGAGTAAGAGAAGAGATGTCTGAGTAGAGAGGCTGTGCTACACCAAGTACCTGCCATACAGCTGTCAGCCTGCCCCTCAACTTCATCGCAACATGTGCCAAATTATCATCACGCATGAATCCATCGCATGTCAACATCGCTACATGTCTTTTACCTCTTGAAAGAGCAGCACGACTGTCTTGTCCCATCCCTGGTCGAAGGGAACGTCGCCTAGAATGGTCAAAGCGGAACCGAAGCCTGCGACTCTCTCAGGGTCGAGGCGATGACGTCAGCAGCAGAATGACCGGCGATGAGGATGAGAATCATGAAGAGAGAATGATAGAGATCTCCGAACATGATGCCGATGGTGTAGGTGAAGGCTGCCATAGGAGTCGACAAGATGCTGATCTGCAAAAGGCAACGTCACCAACAGACAAGAAGAAGATACAACTGGGAGAGAACCACAAGCTTCTCCACTGCCTCACCTGAAACATCTGAGCCCATAGCAGGACGGCAACGATCGCCTTCGAGGGTCGTCCGGATGTCGAGGAGGAGGCAGATGTTGCGGCCCCTGACGTGTCTGACTTGGCCTTGGAAGCAAGCAAGGTCCATGGGATTCCTCCGTTGAAATCTGTTACAGTGCGGTCAGATGTTACGGTGTACAACATCTGGCTAATATGGGACCGTTGAAGGCTCGGTTGCCGGTGGTTGAGTTGGTGCAATCAACACAAGTGGTGTCTCCGCATGACTGCGATGAAATGTTGAGTAGGAAGACAAGACAAGCTAGGACAGTCGGAATTACATGAGTCGCATATCCGTACAAGATTAGCGCAAACGACGTCATTCTAAGAAGATTCCAAATGCTTACAAGCCCCCTGCAGCCCCACGAGCTCAATCGCTGCATACACACATGCCGTCAAGTCACCTTGGAAGGCTAATACTGAAAGTTCCCAAATTAATCGGGACGAGAATGCTCCGTTGGAGCTGCAAGAAAACGACTCCAAGCTGAATGCAAAGAGAACAATATGGGTCAGTTGAAGAGAGTTGCCAGGTCAGACCAACAAGACACGGAAGTAAACAACAAAGAGGTGGGATACATTCCCAAGATGTACAACCTGAAGGGCCAAAGATGCCGCGGCTGTGATCAACAGTAGGATACGAATAGGCTAGCAACAACACGAGAGTCAGAAGACTGATATCGCTTCTGTTTGCTTTGAACCTCCAGGTCAGGTTCGCATCCCGACGGATCTTGAACATATCCCAGCATGAAGAAGAGCAGCAAGACCAAGTATCCCAACTCCTTGATGCAGAACGTCTTCAACCCAAATTTCTTCCACTTAAGCTCGAGCACTTTCCGAACAGCAGGGTGCTTGAAAGACTCGTTGTCATCTACGAAATGTCTTGATCACAACCATGAGCAAAAACAGAAGGCAGTCATACCGAGATTGACTAGCCATCCCAGAGGCGAATTCCAAGGGTCTTCCACAAGGTCTGGGTCTCCATAGAGTTCGCGAATGTAATAGTTGACTCTGATCTGCAACCATGTAAACTCAATTGACTAGCGTTGATCGCCATGCCCGATATCGCTATTATGGTTTTGGGTCATCGTCGTGATTACACTGCTCTCCATCATCATCATCAGCATCATCATCACCATCACCATCACCATCACCATCATCACCATCACCATCACCATCTTTTTTTGGAATCTCATCGTAATCGTAATCGTAATCGTAAATGAGCATACTTTTCGTCCAGGAAGTTTCTCCTTGGAATGCCAAAGAAGGCCATCGAGAAGGACCGGCATCAGGTCAATACATTCTTTTCCAAGAGTCCCTATGATGTCGCGATGGTATTGAAACAATTCCTTTGACAACTCCGTGAATGATCCAACAACGCAAGACATATCTTCGTCTACCTCTCGTCCGTACCAGTAACCATGAATGTCTGCCCGAATGGTCAGCAGGTCACTGCAAAGAATACGTCAATGTTTCGAGGCGACATCTGCTTGTGAGTTTACCTCAAGATGAATTCAACGATAGCGAACTTCCCATCATGCAGTGCCCAGTAGAGGGGGCTGATGCTTGCTCCATTGATGTCAACCTAATACAAGTTGTAATGCACTGATGCACATCCCAAGTAGACATTATCATCATCATCATCTCCATCATCATCATCATCATCATCATCATCTCCATCTCCTCTTTGTCCTTCTCATCACAATCACGAGGCATACATCTCGGCAATCAACGAAATCTTAATAACTTCCTCCACAACGACCATCAAATCATTCTTCCATAATCACAACTGTCAACATCAAATCATTCTTCCATAATCACAACTGTCAACATCAAATCATTCTTCCATAATCACAACTGTCAGCATCAAACAATCCTCTAACCTGACACAACCATTTCGCCCGAGCGTTTCGGGGCGCACATCCTATCGATAACTGAAGCGATTCGACATTCCCCTCAACCAGCGCGTGCGTGATGCCATTGCCTCCCATGTTCAACCCGCGGGACATGCTGTTTGCTGCTCGCTTCCACATCTGCAGAGAATGAGAACCAGACAACGAGCATCGTCCCTTGCCCTCCCTCTGCCTCTGCCTCTGCCTCTGCCTCTGCCTCTGACTCTCCTTCTATCTCTACCGCTGACTCCCCTACCCAACGAGTGCTCTACCTCTTTCCAGAGCGCTTCTGATTTGGGACACCAGGATTCGCCGAGCACCTGCGATTCGATGAGGAAAAATCGAAAAACAAGAAGGCAAATCAGAATATCAGGGGAGAGAAAGATGATTGAAAAGAAAATTTTCAGACGGAGCAGAGGACGAGCTCGATTTGAAGAAGGGCGTGATGATTCAGAGAATGATTGAGGAGAAGATACAAGACGTAGGATAGTAGCGGGTACCTCTTCCAGAGTGAGGATCATGGCTTGACCGAAGGGACTGATATATTCTGATCTCACGCCGTAGCGGATGTGTCGGATAGTAAGGTGGAAGAGTTGTTCGAAGAACTCCTGCAGAAAACGCACATGCCAATGAGAAACGGAGTGAGAGACAGGAAGGTAATCAACATATCAAGATGACATGGCTGGTAAACAAGCAAAGAAGAAACGAGAAGCACAGCTTGCAGATTTTCCAATCGGAGAGTTACAACCTCGGGGTCTGTGACGCTCAAAAGTAGCATGTTCATGATGTGATGAATCAGAAGTCCCCACCTACAGGAAGACAACAAACGCAGGAAGAAGGTCACAACACTTCAAAAACTAGATTGCAATCAACGAACATCTTGATAGATCTTCTGAAGAGATGGGTTTGCTCCGGGGACTGTAGCGAACCCATCAGACCGCAATTCAGATATTTTCACAAAGTAAATAGTCAAGAAGTGAAAGTAAGTGGCCAAGTGTTGTCAGATGGATTTAAGATGATTGGGAAACACAATGCAACAGATTTGATCATACCACATCGTTCAGATGCTTCCAAAACACAGTTCCAAGTCGCTGTCAAAAGTACTTCGGTCAGGAGGCTGGTACATGGCAAACGATCACAAGTTTTCAGACCTCTTCATCGCAGCATCCTTTCAGGTTCTCCCAATCTTTTATGACAAGGTCGTTGCGCCCATTGTTTAGAGCCTCAAGCTCAGTGGTCAAGGACTGTTGCATGCAGATGTCATGTGTGGGAGATGATTGATGTGTCAACAAGTGTAGCAAGTTGAGAGTTCGACCTCTGATACCAACCTCCACAGCCATCGGAAAGAATCGCTCATATGATCGCCCCACCTGCTCCTTCATCACATCGCCAAACACTACAAGGCATAGTTCTACTCTTCAGCTAGGGCGATCCTCACTGCATTCTCGAATGCTTTCCCGATGTTCTTGATATGATCAGGTCTCATGCCGCTGACATCAACATTGGTCAGAACTGTCGACCTTGCAATCATCATGAGCACCTTTCGTGGAACTTGGGAGCAAAGACGTACACGTTCTCGATCTGCTTCTCAGGCTCCCAAATCATCTCGATTACATTCATGACGAAATCATAGATATCATCTACAATGACTTTGTGCTGTTCATTGTCAACATTTCTCACTCCCGACAACACCTCACTCTCTTACATCAGGGCGGAGATTCTTCGGATCATTCGGCACGCTCGAGCCTCGCAACCCCGCCACACTCCCCCTTCCTGCGACGGAACAGAGTCAGAGCCGTGCCTTCACATGCTAACGGTCAACGTGTTGAGGTGTTGGAATTTGAGTTCTCCGAGCTTGTGCTCTTGTTGAGCAGGTATGAGACCTGCCTTGCAGGCTTACTGGGATCCTTCCGATACACTCACTCACCCCTTGCTCTGACTGGTTTGGCACCAAACTTGACCGCCGGATGCGATCGGCGCTGCTGGCGTTGGACTGATGACTCTGCAGGCGATCCATCGCATCCTTATTCTCCTCCGATGATTCTCGTCGCTTCTCGAACATGGAAGGACACAGAGTCAGCAGCTCTGCCTCCAGGTTGTTCTTGAACGTCTCAGAGTCGATGTGCTCTTTTAGGTAACTCCCCGTGTGCTCTAGGGACGAGGCGTAATCTTCTCCATCCTGTATGGCCTCTGACATGTTCTCACAGACCATGCGGAAGACAACTCCCCAAGACTTCTCAACTTCGTGTGTCCACTCCTCTCCGGATACCTCAGCGAGCACGTTCATGAAGACAGGGCCGATGAGAGGGATGTGATGGGGTCGAACGTTGTAGTTCACGTGCCGCAGCCCCAGCCACGTCACCTGCTGCTTCATGTTCTCTGGGTCGTCAGCGAAGGAAACCAGCATGCCAAGGGTGTCGCCCATCTTGACTGCCATGTACTCTCTCGGCTTTGTGAAGAGGCTTGCCACGTTGGGAGCAAGGCGGAAGAGACAGTCGTACACCATCTCGCCGAGTTCAGCTGGGATATAGTGTTCGAGGATGGACTCCCACGAGTCTCTAACGATTCCCAAGGTGGATCCTACCTCTACGAGAGACTGATCGAGGGCTTTGGACAGGTATTCCCATATCCAGATCCACGCTTTCAGCTCCTCCGTCTTCAGCTCGTCCCCGAGGCTGAGGCGGAATACGTTGAGGACGATCTCTTGCATCTGAGGCATGTGCGATGCCTTCACTCCCTTGCGGTGATGCATCGGAGCTAGATCCGCTATCTTGAGATATATCTCGTTCGGAGAGTCGATGTTGTCCACGATGCTCGACAACATGTCGACGAACTTCGTTCCCTGCACGGCACGGTTGGTAAACCTGAAGAGCGGCTCGAGCACCTCATTGTCTCGAACGGATTCGTAGATTGCGTTTCCAAGGTCGGAGTATGTGACTTTCTTCAAGAGAGCTTTCCACGAAGACACAATGAACTGGGAGTGATGCTTCCACTCATCGAGATTCACTGAGAGTGACTTGCTGAAACGATGGTTGGTCTTTTTCTTCCTCTGGTGATGCCCTCGGAAAACTCCTCCTGCTGATCGCAGGTTGGTACCTTGTATAGACCTCCGAGATCCGATTCTGTAGCTGCCGTCAATCCCAGTATTGACCGTCGAAGTCTTGCGGGAGGATGAGACGACCGAAATGTCCCCCTTCGACCGGATCGATCGGGGAGACTCTAACGCGAGACCGGGATTCGCGTAGAGTTGAGCGTAAGAACCTGAAGCAAAGGAGCCAAAGCCCTTGCTGCCCAACCTCGATGATCCTTGAGCTCTGGCTCGAGAAGGCTTCTCGCTGACTTCTGCATCCCTTGTCGCAAGGTTGGAAACATCCTTGTCACTCCCTTGGATCGCCGTCAAGGCCAGGAAAGGACAACTTCCTGAGTCCAACTTGTCTGCCTTTGGGGCAGGGTGTCCCAAAGGCAGAGTCGGTAATTTAGATCTTGCATGCCCATTACTTTCCTTGAGGCAAGGCACTTCCTCTGTAAGTGTGAGATCGGTTTGCGAGCCATTGGAGTTGCCTTGTTCAGCCTTGGCGCCTTCTCGCTCTGCTTCTTCTTCGAGCTCAGGCTCTTCTTGCAAGACATCCAGGTGCCCCTGCATCCCATGGTTGACGTACGGAGAGTCAGGCTGCAGGTCAGCGCTGGGAAAGGCACAATCATCCCATCTTGGGTCGTTGTGTTTCCTCACAGGAAGTTCGTCAAGGGAGTTCTTGTCAGAGAGCTTCTGATCGAGAAGAGAAGCATGCATTCCAAACTGAATGCTCTCGATGGATATCCCCGAAGACATGGTGATGGCTGCCTCGGAACCCACGGGTCTACTCTGCTCAGCCGCTGGTCTTGGCGACAAGGTGAGTTTGAACGAACTATTCTCGATGCTACCAGCGTTGTCATTGGTCTGGACCAAGTCACCAAAGAAGTGCTGGGCGAGGATGAAATGAGCCTTCTTGGAATGCAGCTTGAAGAATTGCTCGGATGCATCCTTCCCTGAGAACCGCTTGATGACATACTCCCCTCCCGGGTGCTGCGAGAGATACGGGAATAAATCGAAGATCATCGAATCGACTATCAAGGGAATGAAGGTCTGAGACTTCATGCTCTGAACTTCAGATAGGGTGTACTTTGGAAACCCCATTTCTTTCTTGCGCCGATTCATGGCACAGAGCACGTCCTCTTTGAAGCAAGAGTCCTCTTCCTTGACCATGATCAGATAGGGGATTTGAAATCTATCTGCAACAAAATCAGTACGTTTTGAAAGCATGTAAAAACGAGTTAGATTGAGCGAAATGGAATCGTCAATGCTCTATAACAATGAAATCTCTTCACCTTTCATGCCACAGGCTGTGATCTATTGCTGTGTACCTCTACCTTGACGTCGTATCTCCTCATATCTCCCACCCTTTCAGCACTCCCCGGTACCATTTCAATCCATTCTCCTCCTCCTCCTCCTCCTCTTCATCCTTTCCATCTCCTTCTCCGTCCTCTCCCTCTGCTCCTTCATCCTTTTCATCCTGTTCCTCCTCCCTCTCCTCCTCTTCCTCCTCCTCCTCCTCCGCCTCCCCTCAGGTCTCACACCAATAACCCCTACCCACTCATTCACCACCCCTGCTTCTCCCACATTTGTACCCACCTTTGAACACTTCCGCACCTACCTAGCACCTTGTGGTCATCGACCCCCAACGTGTTTAAAATGATACGAAAAAACGTGATTTCGATGCTGTTCCACTAGGGAAGTCACACGGGATCAACGAAACGATGTGTTCTGATAATTTATATAACTCTCGTTTAAATCATCTTTACAGGATATATCGATCGACAGAGTATTGGAGCACCTCAATTTTTGTTAACTCTGTTTGACAGTACCAGAATTTAAAAAAAGTATTTATGAGCGGAGAAACAAGTACAAAAAGAGTACTGGTCACACAGCTAGTAGAAGCCAATACAAACATCCCGAGTTAAGTTAAATATTGTACCATGATCGACTTTGTTGAGCAGCAGATGTATCACCACCCTACACCTCCACGAAAAGTATTATAAAATGACTAAACCTGCATTTCCATTTTCAGTCAATAAAAAATCTCACCAGTATCTCACCATCTCCACCTGAGCATGCGGGAAAATCGAGAAGCGGGGGAGGGGGAGGACGATGAGGAGGCGGGAAGGTACCCTCTTAACTTAAGAATGCATGGACAAGATGTCTTGCTGGCCGACTCACGAGGATAAGGTTGAAAGTGTTGACAAAATCGTTGCACCAAACAAGACAACGCCTCCTGTACAATAGAACCAAACCACTGCAAATAAAATAGTATCAAAATTGACCCGCGTGAGAGTGACTTGAGAGAAGAAGTGAAATGCTGAGAGAAGAAGTGAAATGCTGAGAGAAGAAGTGAAATGCTGAGAGAAGAAGTGAAATGCTCACGAGAAGAAGTGAAATGCTGAGAGAAGAAGTGAAATGCTGAGAGAAGAAGTGAAATGCTGAGAGAAGAAGTGAAATGCTCACGAGAAGAAGTGAAATGCTCACGAGAAGAAGTGAAATGCTCACGAGAAGAAGTGAAATGCTGAGAGAAGAAGTGAAATGCTCACGAGAAGAAGTGAAATGCTCACGAGAATGAAGTTGTGAATTTCAAGCAGGAACGACCAATCCAGGAATGTCTTTGATAGTCCATGTCTTCGACCTTTCAGTTGATTCAAAGTCTGAACGGAAAACCCTCGGCGATGAACATCGTCATTTCCGAGCATTGCTCTCTCAACCGATTCTCGCCTTCCTCGCACAGCATGGCGTAATCTCCTCACATGTTACAGAGATCACTCTCAACATTGCAGAAGAGTGTGGTTTCAAGTACAAAATGCTTGTTAACAAGGATGTGACCTTCCAGGAGCTTGTCCGCCGCTACAGAATCCTCTGTCCAGTCTTGGCAAGTCAGGCAAGCTACTCTTGTCGTTGTTGTATCGTGACTGACGCAACGAGAGCAGACGCTCTTCGTCTGCATGTTGAGCAGTGATCAGACCATGGTTGAGGTAGGACTTTTGTTTCAGAACAAATACTTTGAAGGGAACTACGTTATCATTGGCAGCTTAGCTGCCAGAAGAGAAGGGGCGGAAATTTGTAGAATACTGCAAGTCTTCCAGCCAGAAAAACCTCGCAGCCATACTCTCGTCTACTGGATCAAAGTATCCTTGCCCAACGACAAGGTCCAATACTTATCTACGAGAAAAGATGGGTACGTGAAAACCTTGGGACCCAATCACTCTGAGTATGTTAAGACGCCTAAAGTACAAGTCAGTCCGAGTGGCCAGCTCGACATTAGTGGTCGAGCAAAGAGCCACTTTGCCGGACAAGGATCGCACATCACAGCTATCTCCTTCCCCCAGAAGTACCTGAAAGCTATGTACGACAAGAGGAGTCTAGTGGGCATCGTCGACTACATCTGTCGTATCTCAGTCTTCCTTCCGGAGTACGCCAAAGACCTTTCCGACGGCAGAGGATCGCTCCCCGAAGATGGGGGAGAATACAAGTACTGCAAAGAAGCTCTCGAAAACCAGCTCATGAACGTCTCAACGACGCGAGGGTACGATGGAGTGGTGGAGCAGCTGGCTAAGATAGCTCTCGTCTTCTATCAACGAATCGAGGATATCACTGTAGATATCAACAAAGTGGTTGGCTGTGACTGCAGTAAGGCTGGCAGCAACACACCCAAGAATGCCTCCAAGTCCTGGCAGTTTATCGACTTTCCAGCCATTCTCGTGCACGCGGCGGCGTCTGTGAATCCTTCTGATCCCAGCAAGAGCATAGGAGACAAGGTGAAGGAGATGCTGGCCCGGCATCTCTTTCTCTGTCCGCATGGCATCAACGGCAAAGACCTCAAGGTCCTGGGCATCGAGAAGAGCGACGTCGACGTCGAAGACATCAAGAGGTTCTTGCAGGAAGTGAAAGACTCGTTTGAGAGTAGGCATAAGAGTATCACACCCTTGGTGAGACTGAGCAGGGGGGTGCAATGCAACAAGAATCTGACAGGATGGAGGGCAGAGAGCGGACCATCCCAAGAAACTTCTTCTCACCAAATCGTGGGAGACGTACACGAGCAAGGAAGTGGAGGAGACCCTGGGGGACAAGGAGGTAAGCGTGGGAGCGGCGGGTATCGAGGAGAGGAGTGGGAGAAGCAGAGGCAAGGATGGCGGTAAATTGAGTCTAACTTGATATTTGAACTGAGCAGATAGCTGAGAAACTCATGGGTCTGATAGAGGAGTGTTTCCAAAAATGTCAACGCGACAGCCAAGACATCAGAACAAGAATAGTCGCTGCTCTCAATGCTGCCTGGCCCCCCGGCCCTCCACCATCTGAATCACTGCACGGCAATGACGGTGCCAGCGATCAGACGGCCGCAGCTGAACTGTTGAGCTGCCAGGCGGCGAGAGGCTCCGTGGCAGCGGCCCGGGCCCCGGGCCCCGCAGTAAACTCTGTCGTGGTAAATTGTAATTAAAAGTCTTCACGTTGAGGGCAGAGAACCGTGTCTTGAATGACTCGCACTGGCCTTACATGCCGCAGTGCATGATCCATCACTGATCGGACCGCCGTCCGACTCTAGTGAACTTCTACTACTAGCAAGCCTCCACTGTCACTGAGTGCTGGAAGGTCGTGCCGCTTCAACCGGATCCAAGACCCGAGAAGAGAAGAGCTGGGGCCCTTATTCTCAAGCCTCGGATGAAGAGAGTCCCTCAGTGGGCTGACTGCCGGGCCGCCGGGCCCACGCCGCGGCCCGGCGGCCGCCGTCACTCAGGCTCGGCGATTGTGACTGTACACTGTTTCGGAACATCGGACCGTTTTATTATATCGAATATTGTAACCGATGACCGCAGAAGCTCTATTTTCGGCTTTACTCACGGCAATCATGTTTGGAATGTTGTTGGCAAGCGGCGCTACGCCCTCGATGGCGATGGGACCTGGCGGAACCTTCGGCTATGCTGAGGTGAGGCGATGAAAGATCTCAACTTCCATGAGAGGGCTGTGGGTGGAGAAGAGGATGCAGACGAGGTTGCGATGCGGAACCCGGCTCACCTCAAGTTCTGTTCAGGTCAACATGCAGGGGCACCCAGCATGCATTCAGATCGGAACTCACGGCTCCTTGACCAAGGCAGAGTTGGAAGAGATTGCCTCTGGTAAGGTTTGTAGTCCAGTTTGTTCTCACTAATTCTTTCTGCTTCCAGGTGGTCCTCATGGTGAGATTTGAGATGACGGGTTGCTATGCTTTTCATCATCTGATCCATGTTTCAGCATGGACGCCTGGCGCCTGCCCAGCAAGATACTCCAAGTTGGACTACGGTGTTCATGTTCTGTCCGCCCCTTAAGCAAGTTTAAAGGTGGGAATTTTCCGAATCATTGTGCTGAAACTGAACACGAGGAGTAGGTGGGAATCAGTCTCTATCGTTGTGAATTTTCGGGATTAAACTAGCAGGGGTGAATGTGGGAGCACCAGTCTAGATGCTTGACTGTAAAGCTTAAGACTTAGCGGATTCATGTTGTCACTCGCATATATGATTCTGTTCATTCTGTTTGCGCCTGACAGACTTGTTTGAACTTCCTCGTTTGTGGAGCTTCTCAGCAACGAAGGTATGTCTTGAAGAAATTCTATCTCGGATTAGAAGTGCTTGAAGTAAGACAAGACGTGGCATGAGTAGCAGCTATCCAATTGAGATGAACCAAGGAAGTGTCAAAGTTGAGAAGCAAGTTTCAGTGACCTTATATACCTGCCTCCGGGGCAACAAGGGTTTGTGTTTGGACGACAAGGGTACCATTTGGGAAACATACATGAAAACCATGATGTTTGTTGAGAGATTGGAAAGAATTGCGGTAGAGAGTTTGTAGAGATCCTCGAGGAATGATGATCTTTGTTCAGACGGGTCACCTTCCCTCCACCCATGATTGTATCATCTATTTTCGTAGAAAGAGAGAGCTCATAAAGCTCTTGAGCCATTCCGACGTCTGACCATACCGCAAGACGTGCATCAACAAGTACACAACCATCACGCTGATGACGTCGAACGCGATCGAGGCGACTCGTTTGAACCTGCCAGCATGTGTCAAAGGTACTGATGATACATGTTACCATCTAGCGGCTCGCAGACCTGGGCTGAAGTTCGAGCTTGCTGAGAGCCCACGACTTGAGTCCAACTTTGCTGATCGACGGATTCTTCGAGCTCAGCCCCTTCTTGGTCTTGCTCGATACCTTCTGCCCAGACTTCTTCATGGTCTTGCTCTTGTTGTGCGAGGCATGTGGCGTCTTCCTTGTACGAAGCGTCGCCCAAGTCACCATGGACGGGTATGCGGAGAGATCCTTCAGCCGATTCTGGACCAGGGAGTCTCTCCTGACCTGTCGGAGAGTCAGATCAAGCATGACACGAGGGGAAGGATACGTTGTGGATCAGGCCTGACGCAATGAACTCAGCTGCTTTCTCCACCATGTCAACTTGTTCCATGCTGACATTGCCCGGCGATTTCCTGGCGAGGTCCAACAGCACCACACACCGCCTGTGCAGCTTCTGCCTTGCCAGATCCATGGCAGTCTTGTCTCCTGCTCGCCATGGTTGAGATGAGTCGGGCAGGCATCTCAGAGGAGAGGTACCTTGTGCTGGCAAGGAGAGGTCTGCCCCGAGTCGGATAAGACGAACCAGAGCTTCTTCGTGTCCTTGTCCTGCAGCAGGTAAACGATGAGACTGGGATGAAGATGCTGGTAAGGAGGGGAATGCATCTACCTGCCGCCAAGTGGAGGGCAGTGCAATTGTCAACAGTCTGTCATAAGATGCATCAGGCTGAAATCAGTAAAAGAGGAGGAACAAGGCATGCTGAAACTGACCTGTTGTGCGTTGATGTCGGCGCCCTTCTCAACCAACAACGTGATGATCTCTGGAAGTCCCCGATATGCTGCGTTATGTAGAGGTGTCGACCCTGGCAAACACGCATGAGAATTCTTGACACTGACAACTGCTATAAATCTTGCCGACCTTCATGATCGACCGCTGACAAGTCAGCGCCGCTTTCAATCAGAAAGTTGACGACGTCGCGGAAGCCATAGTACACAGACAGATGGAGGGGAGTCGAGCCATCCCCTGCGGGGCAGGAGAGATCCTTGCACTCCTCGAAGATGGTCTGAGCTACCTCAAGATGTCCCGAGGCGCAGGCGAGATGGAGGGAGTTGAGGCCCTCCTCGTTCTTCTGGAGAAGGTTGGCTCCAGAGCGGTACGCTTGCATCACGAGCATAGCGTCTCCCTCACTTGCTCCCTCCCACAACATCTGCTGCAGCTCCTGCTGCTTCTTATCACCGTCCTCCTCCTTCTCTTCCTCCACCTTCTCCTCTGCTTCCTTGGGCGTTGTCTCTGTGGGCTGTTCGCCATCGTTGCCGCCCCTGAGCCTCATGGATGCTCTTCCGCTCCTCCCCAAGTGTCTCCCAACGATGTGAAGGTGTGAAGGCGATAGAGCTGACAGCATCTCGAACAGACAACAGAAAAAGACGCATACGAGAAGAATTCTCCCCATTCTTTGCTTGTGCTTCTGAATTACACTGCTCCCCTGCTTCTCCGTTATTGTCAGTTCTCAAGACTGCAAGTTTTCCGCACTTGACACTTCCAGTCAACCAGCCCCCTTCCCCACCTCCTCCTCCCACCCACCCACCCACCCACACAACATCCGTTATGCTCGTAGTATCCTATCTAACTTGATGTCTTGTCCCAGCAATAGCCTCACTCCTGCTCTCCTCTTACACCCCCTCCCCATTTGTCTGATCATTTTCACGCTTTGGGGCTCGATTCCTTGAATTGCACCCACCACACTTCCTGCCCCATTTTCTCTGCATGAAATTCTTTCCTCGTCACGCTTTTGTGCCTCGTTTTTCGATTTCTCTCCCTTTCTAATTTTGTTTCCCTGGCATCTTCACAACAATTTCCTTGCATCTTGCTCGGTCTTCCTCAAAATTTGCTCATCTTAAATTCTATCCCCGTGCCATCTCACCGAAATGTCGTCATCGCCTGATTGACCTTCACCTGACATCAAACTGCGTCCTATTCCGATCTGAACAGGACTTGTCTCAACTCTTATCCATCCTCCGATCATGTACATCATATCTATCTCTACCTTCACGTCGCATGCATCATCGCTATCGCCATCGCCATCCCCACCCCCATCGTCGCACACGCACTTACCTCCCTTTCGTCGGCATTCCTTGCAAGCGCACTCCCTCTAAGCCCGTCACAATGTCCGTTACAGTCTTTTTACGAATTGAAACGGAAAACTTCTATGACAGATCTAGAACAGATCTAGGGCAATTCCAGTTCTGCAGTAGATCTAGAACAAGTCTAGAGCAGGTTGCTATTTGCTGGAATGTTCAACGGGCGGGTGAAGCCATGGGTGCGATGAGACCATGGCACGAAGAGGAGAGAGAGAAGAGGAGAGGAGGAGAGAAGAGGAGACAGGACAGGACAGGACAGGAAAGAAGGAAGAGAGGATCGAGGATGTGTGGGAAGGTGAAGGAATACAGCTGGACTTAAAAGGCTCAAGTACCATGCAGCCAATCACTGGAGTATGACACGAACATGCTGCACTACCAAGAGTGACAACAGGTAGCCATAGCTTGGGCCATGCGCGGATATCACCGGGATGCTACAACTTCGCCTCTTTCCAGAAAGCAGACAGGATCTTACGAGGTCATCCCGGAGTCAGTGCAGTACCTCTACCGCCTGTACTCCAAGGAGGTGGTGCACTTGACCAAGGAGCTGTGCCTCAAAGAGGAAAAGCTTACCTCCATCCCACTGGTAATGAGAAACTTCAAGCATCTCCACAAGTTGGATCTGAGCTACAACTTGCTCACCTCTCTTCCTGTAAGAGCATGCTTCACCTCCTATGCTGCTCTACCTGTCTACTGCGTTCGTCTCACCTTGTTGTGCTCAGGTCAAGATTCTTGATGAGTACTTCCCCCATCTCACCTCCCTCGATGTCTCCTACAACCGCCTTGGCTCGATCGAAGACATACAGCAGCTCGGAAAGCTCCCCCTCCTCCAGGAGCTGAACGTGCTCGGCAACCCTCTGCTCGCTGTCAACCAGCGCCCTCTGCTCCTGAGCCTCTTGATCTTCAATCAGAGTCGTCCGACCCGAGAGCAGCTGGAGGGGATGCTCGGGTACTCTGACGCCGCTGGGAGGGGTACCACCAAACAGGATTCCAGCGGTAGCATCCTGGCCTCAGAGTCGATCTCGAAGATGTTGGTTGCTGGACTTCAGCCCGGGAACGTGCTCCCGCGCGTGGCGGTTGCTCGGCTCTCGCGAGCTGGGCTGCGAGCTACTTCCAGGTTCGCCGTATACTGCGACCTGTCGGCTGCTCCAGTCCCTCGCAACTCTCCCTTCCCGTTCCTGGTCGTGCTGAATGAGCTGGAGATCACCAAGGAAGACTTGGATGCGGCAGCAAGGATGGCGCCGAGGCGGAGTCCCCTCCAGGCGAAGAAGGCCAAGGCCAAGCGGCTGATGGGGAAGAGGAGGATGGAGGAGCTCGAGCGGTTCACGGATGCGGTGCAGAATGCGTACCGTGAGCGAAAGATTGAGCACACGCTGAAGAAACTCCTGGAGGAAGGCGTCATCGATGATGGGTCTTCTTTTGAGGAGGAGGGAAAGGAGGAGGAGGAGGGAGAGGGGGGGGAGGAGGAGGAGGAGGAGGAGGAGGATCTTATAGAGAATGGAAATATGGGAGATGAAGAGGATGTTCTGTCGGAAGTTGCGCAAAGGACTTACAAGTTGAGGTCAGTGTCGTCCATGCTGGAAAACAGGCTGAACAGAATGGAAGACAACAGCTCAGATGGAGTAAGTGACAACTCTTTCCAGTTATCCATGTCCAGACCCAAGACAGGCACGAGGCAGAGGCAAACAACATGTCCAGCATCCTGGTGGGACCAGGAATGGATGCTCAACGATGGGGGCCTTCAAGAGATTGACCTCCCGACGAGGCTGTCTGTGGTGGACCAAGGGGCAGAGGAGCTCGAGAGGACGAAGAGAGCGGTGGAGAAGCTGACGGAAATCGGGCATGCAGAGACCTCTCCTTCAAGGAGCTCGACGGAGAACGTGGCGATCGAGTCGAAGTACCAATCTTTGAGAGAGGAGGTGGACGATCTCAGGAAGAAAGAGACTGCGTCCAATCTGAAGATGCTCTCCTCCTCCACGCCCTCCTCCTCCTCAGCTGCCAGGGCGAAGCAGCTGAACAAGTTCAAAAGTCGCTTCGAGTTCTCAGATATGCTTAGGTGGGAGCTCAGCATTCAAAAGGATAGGGACAGCACGTTCCTCACCCGCGACCTCCCTGGATCTGTGAAGCGCCTCAATGTCGACGAGTGGATGCAGCAAGGAGTAGACGAGGCAGTGCAGGCGGAGGAGATCGACCGACTGTTTACAGCGACCAACATACAGAACAAGGTCGACACGCACCAGGTCAACAAGATGAACCGCGAGACTGTCTTCTTTCAGCGGAAAATGGCGTTCCAGAGCCAACAGCAGAACTTCGTCGAGAAATGGCACAATCACCGTAATCGTCTCAGCCTCATCAGAGCTGGTAAGTACCCCACAGACACGCCGGCGCGCCGCTCGACTTCCAGCAGGTCCTGGAGGGATGCTGGTGGGAATCAGAAGGGAGATGACAGGGAGGAGAGGAGAAGAGAGGAGAGAGGAGAGGAGGAGAGAGGAGTCGTGCAGGAAAGTAGCAAGGCGAACGTATCTGGTAAGGCAAATTTCCATGTGGTCCTGTCAAGAGCGCTTGACAAGCTGGAACGAACTCTGATGAGTCCTACTGAGGAGACTGCCGACGTCAGCCAGGGGTCAAAGGCGGCGGGTTCGGGGTCAGATGTACAGCCAGCGTCCAAGGGGACAAGAACACAAAAACATCGCAAGGCCGAAGATTACACCAAGATGTTCGATCTTGGCATCAATCGGATCCTGCAGACGAAGGTGCTTCTGGTCACTGCAGCTCAATATTTCCGATTGACGCTCAGTCAGGATACACGACAGCAAGACGATAGGGCCGCCGCCATGCTGATCCCTCGAGCAAACCTCCGGGAGGTAAGCGGGAAGAGATTGAGGAGGAGGAGAAGAGGAAGAGGTTGGAGAGAGGGAAGTAGGGAAGGGAAAATAGGCGGGGAAGGGATGGAGAAGGAGCAAGAAGAAGAGATAGAGGAAAGATGCGGGAAGAGACAACAAAGAAATTATCACAAGGAAGATTTTTGGAGGGGAGGGGGGAAGGGGGGAGGGAGGGGAGGCGGAAACGAAGGGAAGAGACGGGAAGGAGAAACAGAAGAGGGGCGGAGGATAAGTACCCTGTGGATGTAATCAAAACTGGCAGGTCCGTCGTGAGCTGAAAGAGTACCACGATAACTTCGTCTCACAGCGTCTGCGGTTCTTTGAGGTGAATCGTGCTGAGGGGAGGGCAGGGAGGAGGTTGCTCTGACCCACGAGCAGGAGAGAACGGACATGGAAGCGATGGTAGATAAGATTATCGTCGCCAACAGGTCCCGACACCCTCCTCCTGTTCACCATCTTGCGATGACATCGCCTCAGGTTCGGACAGTTTGGTGCGAGGAGGATGCAGGTGGCAGGAGTGGAGTTCGAAGAGGACTCTTAGTCTGTCTTGTTCATAATTTGTACAGCAAACAACTCAAGGTTTTACCCCAGCTTCATCCTCCCCTGCTAGCACAGGGCTACACACACGTCACACGCACACACACCACAGAAAGAGGAAAAACAAGCTCATCACATCTTCCAACCCGATGTCACACAGCACATCATCGCGACACCCATCACCGCCGCCATCACCCACTCCCACCCTCCTGGCACTCTCCTCGATGCTGCTGACGTTCCTCCGGTGCTCCCTGTGCTCGTGCCGGTACTGCTGCTCGTCCCCGTCCCTTGCACGCTGTAGCTGCATGCTGCCGTCGCCATGATCCCGTTCCTCCCCGTCGCCCACGCCGCCTGCACCGTGACGCTTCCCGAGCTGGGCGCGACGACCTCTGGCGACGTCGAGCTGATCGTGCGGGAGTTGCTGCAGGCTCCTCCCTGGACGCCCCAGCTCCCGCTCCCCGAGCTCGACGTCGCCTGCACGACGTACTGTGCGTCTTGAGGAGGAGCGAAGCCGGAGACGGCGAGCTTCTCTCCGGGCTGGAGGGTGGAGCCGCAGCTGAGCTGCTGGCCGGCTCTGGATAGGTAGATGGACTGCTGGGAGGACTGCTGGATGGCGCCTCCCATGGCGGGGTAGTTAGTGCCAGGGGCGATGGACTTACTGCAGCCAGAGCCGATCATATTGGAGGAGTAAGCAGAGACGAGGGGGAGGGAGAGGAGGAGGAGGGGGAGGGAGGATAGGGAGTACATGTCACAGAAGGATAACGCAGTGTACACGTGCACCTAGAGTGCGCCGAGAGGAGGAGGCGGAGGAGGAGGAGGAGGAGGAGGAACTTGGACGTATAAGGAGTTTGGAAGATTGGTTCCCCTGACTACCCCCACCCTCTCAATCACTGGTAAGTGAGGGGGTGATCCAGTGGTCGTTTCTGTCAACAATATTAGTTCCTCGGAGGTGTAAATGGCCGTCCGGGCCTTCACAACTTGGCGCTGAGTACTACTGGACTGAGTAAAGTTACCGTACTAATACGGTCCTGGCGGCCGGGCTCGGATCCGTCCCAGGCCCGGGCTGAGAGGCCCCGGCGACTCGGCGGGCCCGGCCCGGCAGCGGCCCCGCCGGTGCCGGGCGGCGCCGCCACTCACGGCTCGGTACTGAGCGAACCGTTGAACGGTGGACCAGCCCGCGGCCTGTCTCTCCCGGAGTCCGAGTCCGAGTCAGTGGCTCAGTCGGCGCTGAGCCTCGGAGCGGCTGCCAGCCGGAGGCTACCAGCCCCGCCTGGGATCAATTTTTTCTTAGTCGACCGAGTCATTGCATCCGCTCGCCAGGCATCTCCCCTTATCTCTGTGCCGCACATCTAACAGCCCTGCATGAAAATCTTCTTCAGAATGGACAATCCTTGAATAGTTATTGCCCACTCAGCATGACTGTGAACTTGACGTTGTATCATCGTATCTTGACTTGGATCTGCTGACATTCTTGTTTGCGTGACTTTCTGACGTCCGATGTAACGTACTATTTCAGAAACTCAGGGGGAGGATGGAACGTATGCCAGCCGTGCCAGTCAGATAGCGCCGAGTTAACAAAAACTCTCCTGTAAACTAAGACGACTTACGTGTTTCGAGGCGGCATGTAGCGTGTGGGGCTTTCCTAGCCGTCTTGCTAAGGTCCTCTCATGTCTGGATGCTTGGGTTTCACATCCTAGCATACAGTCTATCTCTCATGTGCTCCTCAATTCTGGTTTTGTGTGCATTAAACTCGGTCTTGAGCAAAAACTGTCTTGTTACAACTAAGGTCGATGTGCATATCGGATATCTGCGTGACTTTGGACTAGTACAAGTCTAACAAACTTGTATTCCGTCAGACATGCCGCGTGGTCAATGATTCACTGTCAAGTTTTCAACTTATCCAACCCGGACAAGGGCCGGGCCGCTCCGGGCCATGGCAGCCACCCGGCCGGATCTAACTTGGCAGTGAGGGCAACTGAGTCATCCGATTATATACAGAGCGACGGCCGGACAATGATGGCCCGAGCACAGGGAGCAGCGGAGGAACGTCAGCGGCATCGAAAAGTGCTTTTGCAGGAGACCTCTTGTTCTTGTTTGGTTCAACTTGTTCTCACTTTCTTCCTTGTCTTACTTGTTCTCACTTTTCGGGCTTCCTTGCCACGGTCTTATGTTATTCCATTCACTTGCAACATTGTTACCTGCCATCTGCTACTCCTCCCCACCCCTTCCCCCTCCTCCTCCCCCCCCCCTCCCCTCCTCCCCTCTTCCTCTTCCATCAGTTCGTCTCCTTTTCCGCCGCTTGCCTTCGTTCATTCACCCAATGCTCCCATTTTTGGTGGCAAAGGGGATACCACCCCTACCCTCCTCGCATCGAATGTTGGTGGCTAACCTAAGGGGTAGTCGGATACAAATCGAGCCCATAACTATTCCATGCCTCGCCATCCTCCTCCTCCTCCTCCTCGATGCCGACCTCCACCATGTACTTCCTCTCCCCCTCCTCCCTCCCCCTCCTCCTCCTCTCCTCTCCTCCCTTTCCCTCCCCCTCGCCTCTGCTTACTCCTCCTACATGGTCGGCTCTGGCTGCCATCGCCCCTGGCACTAACTACCCCGACATGGGAGGCGCCATCCAGCAGTCCATCTACCTATCCAGAGCCGGCCAGCAGCTCAGCTGCGGCTCCACCCTCCAGCCCGGAGAGAAGCTCGCCGTCTCCGGCTTCGCTCCTCCTCAAGACGCACAGTACGTCGTGCAGGCGACGTCGAGCTCGGGGAGCGGGAGCTGGGGCGTCCAGGGAGGAGCCTGCAGCAACTCCCGCACGATCAGCTCGACGTCGCCAGAGGTCGTCGCGCCCAGCTCGGGAAGCGTCACGGTGCAGGCGGCGTGGGCGACGGGGAGGAACGGGATCATGGCGACGGCAGCATGCAGCTACAGCGTGGAAGGGACGGGGACGAGCAGCAGTACCGGCACGAGCACAGGGAGCACCGGAGGAACGAGTACCGGCACGAGCACGGGGAGCAGTACCGGTACTGGCACAGGAACAAGCAACCCTTCGGGCTCCGAGGGCGAGACAGGGTCACACGACTCAGAAGGAGGTTCAGAGGACAGCGAGACGAGCAAGAGCGTTGGAGGAGTCAAGATAAGCGGAGCTGTTTCTGCTGCTGTGCGACGAGAGCGTGAGGGAACCTGGTTGACCATGCTGTTTGCATCTGCACTGGTCTGGATCGTGCGCTTCAATTAGTGGAGTGAGAAGATAAGATGCTAGTCAACAAGGATAAACTTCTGACTGTACTGAGTCAAACTCTGATAGGATTGCGATGAAGTCCTGTCAAAGCACGTGTTAGGCTCGCAGGTCCTTGAAAGCCGTTGCTCCCGGTCTCGATGCCGCCGTAATGCTCAATGTACTGTCTGGCGCCGGCGGCATGAAGCAGCGAGAGAGAGAGATCCACCCCAGCGGCCGAGTCAGAGACCTGCGTCGAGTGACCAGCCGTTGAAGTGCCGGGTCATGGCGAGATGGAGCTTACAAGCTAGACTGATCAGATCCACATCCGAGGGCTTCTCGGAATCTTGACATCTAACACACCCAGTTCATGTTTTCTCATTTCATGTTTTCTCATTTCATGTTTTCTCAGTTCATGTTTTCTCAGTTCATGTTTTCTCAGTTCATGTTTTCTCAGTCCTGCAAAGTCTACCAGAACATTCAGAGGTTGTCCCTTGTAAGGCTGATGTAGAGACATAGCAGATTGCGGGAAAACTTTAGACATTACATGAAGGCATACATAACAAAATCTATTTCAACTCTCTGCTGATGCGATTCTGTTCCTCTTGGCGGCATTGAAAGCCCTCTCAGCTATCTCGCTCAGTCCCTTCCTTTCGTCAACGCCACCATCGTCTTCTGAAGATTCTTCTTGCAACAGCCTCGCAGCTTCCTGAATACTCGATCTCAGCCAAACCCTCTTCCACCAACATCTCTCCGACAATCTACCTGAGAAGCAAAGGTGCAATGCACTGTTCCCCTCCTGGCGACGTCTGGCAGCTCTACAACGCCCGTTTCCTCGCAGGATCTGTACAACCAAGTCAGCGCACTAACAGTGACAAAACTCTCCGACAGCGGCCGGTCTGAGTTCCTCCACTTGTTGCCCTTGATGACGACTCCTGCACGAGCGAGAAAAATTTCAGACAGAGGAAGTTGGATGAAGGATAGAGAGAGGAAGTAGGTGAAAGATAGAGAGAGGAGGTTGGCGAAGGAGGTGGTGAGGTGGGGTGAGGACCTTGCAGTGAGATGCTGGCAGACTTTGGGGCAAGGAAGCCAGCTTCGAGAGCAAACTCATTCGATTCGAAGGAAGAGTTTGCAATGGACAGTTTTCCTCCTCCGTCCACTGCAGTTTTCACCATGTTTTCAAACAGGTCAAGGCGGAGACAGGAAGGGAACCTGTACATCCTACGAGACAGGTCGAGATGGAGCTTTCCTCGAGGGCTACTGTTGCGTCCCCTACCACGGCCACTCCACTCTCCTTGCAGTACAGGACACTAAGAATCGTTCAGGCTCCTGCTCCCATCCCAAATCTGCAACCTGCACAGCTTCAACTCCGCCTTGCTCTCTGCGCAGCAGAAGAGTCCCCAGGATGCCTCCCGGGCCTGAGCGCGGCAGTCAAGGGAGGGGATGGAGGGGAAAAGGGAACGAGTGGGGGCAAAGGGGGAGAAAGAAGATCGGGAGAAGGTAAGTGGGAAGTAAGATCAAGGGATGGCGGAGAGGGAGAGAGATGGGATGATGAGGGGGGAGAGGAGGGAGGAGGGAGGAGGGAGGAGGGAGGAGGGAGGAGGGAGGAGGGAGGAGGGAGGAGGGAGGAGGGAGGAGGGAGGAGGGAGGAGGGAGGGAGGGAGGGAGGGAGGGAGGGAGGGAGGGAGGGAGGTAGTAGAAGGGAAGAGAAGGCAAAGGATTTGGAATCATCGGGCTACCTTGCCAAGGCCTCCTAGGCTACTCCATTCTACTTGCACCCTGGCATCACTACGGCAAGTCAGATGAGATGAAGGAACTGCTGAAGATAGTCGGTCTTACCATACGCAGTACAGCGCCGTGTTGATTTTCTGGTGTGAGAGCTGATCAGGATCTTGTATTGCAGGCTGTCCGGAGCTCTGGATGGAGCAGTTGAAGATGTTCCAGGCTCCACCGCTGACCTGAGACGGACGAGGAGGGAAGGGTAAGGCTGCTAGCAGGATCTCTATCCTTACCGTGACGCAAGAGTCGTGCTCGTTGACAAGAAACATCCCCTCTAGCAGACCCCCCGAGGTCGCCAACAAGTCCCATGCTCCTGCGGAAGCGACACGTTCAAGATCGCCAGCTCCAAACTGGCTGGCGCTACCTGACATGACTGGCGACCTCACGCCTTGGACCGAGAGGGGGGTACGGAACGCAAGGACGCCCGACCAGTCATGCAGCTTGCTGGCATGTACGATGATGCTGTGCGCTTCAGAGACGTTCCTCCTCCGATGAGCTTTCAGAACAGCTTCCTGGAAGGATTGAAAGTCCCCCGGGACCTGAAAGCCACCTCAGCCTAAAACTTCGTTGACAGTGCGTATCACTGTAGTCTTGACTTTGCTGTGCTTGTGCCTTCCTGCGCTGCTCTGGTATGTTATCCTCCTCGTGCTCCCATCTGAGCGCAAGAGATACAAGCAAGAAGAGCCTAGCGGGAACGAGATCTGTTCCATAGACTCAGTTCGGCTCGCTCGTTACCCTCCTCATACCTTCTCGTCGGAACCAAATCGATTGTTCGCCGGCATCGTCAGGAAGTGTGAGGCAGTCGGTGCCATCTGGACGGCGCTGAGAGAGGCCTGATGAGAGACATCCTTCATGACGTTGACGAGAGTGTCTTTATCGAGCATGTCCTCGCACGAGCTTGACGACCGCTGTTCGTCATCTTTGAACTCGTCTTCAACGTCCATGTGCTCAGAGATGTTGTTGAAGAAGCTGAGCTTGCGCTTTCCTGTCTCCTTCTCGAACGGCGTTCCTTTCGTCTGATCCTCGAACTGCTTCCAACGTGACGCCATCTCGCCAGCAACATACTCTGACGGTCGCTTCGGCCCAAGGAATTGTTCCATGGTGCTCTGCCTTCCTAACTTGACGTCGTGGGCTGCCGCCAGCTTCCGATTCTCATTCCTGAGCTTGTCCACCTCCTCCTGCAGCCGGGCTGCCCTCTCCTCCCAGTTCACCGTCCCTGATCTTGACGCTTGATCTCGTGAAACCCCCA